GTGTCCCTACCTACAACCTGGGTGAAGTGCTTCCTTCCAAACACAGAAGGGGTGAGGGAAGGACACCCCAGAAAGACATGGCTCACTCCCGAGGGCTGCCAACCTTCCTTCTCCATCCGTGGACACAGAGCTGCCAGCCCTCGAAGCAGCCGCACAGCCCCACGTGTTCCCCTCCAGAGCTAGGACACAGCTGCGACCCCCCACCCAGCCCTGACCTGATAGTAGCCACCACAGCTCCCAGAGGCCACTAGGCCGCACACCCACCAGCCACGCCTGACTTTAAAAAGTCTTCAGGAGCCAAGAAAGTCAAGTCACAGGAGATAAAAACGCCCACGCCAAGACAGAGTCCAGCTGCCGCCCAGGCTGGTGCCAAGGCCCTTTTACCTGCTTCTGCCCAAAGAAACAAGACTCCAAAGGACGGGGACCTCCAGCAAAGGCCGGAGCAACGCAGGGACGCAGAGGCCGCCTGCAGGCTGCCCTTCTCCACAGCCCACTGGGGATTCACCTGAAGCTGGGGGACCCTGCCCCACCTGCCTCGCCCCTGGAAGCACACTGGGGACACTCGCTGGCCCAGGGTGCCCAGGGCCCCTGCTCGCTGCACCGACGCAGCACCTGTCCAGAGCAGGAACAGATCAGGAAGTCTCGGGTCAGTGGCCACACTGGGCTGCAGGACTGACCTTGCAGGTGAGGCCAAGGCACCAGGAGAGCCCGCCCCACAGCCCCCTTCCGCTCACACCTATCCCCTTCCCCAAGGGCTGCCGGCCAGAACTGGGGGCTCCTTCTCTCACCTCTCCCGGAAGTAATCCAACCTCCGTATTTTGACTCAAAACAAAGAAACTTTTTAAAAACATTTCAGTTGAAACTTGCACAACTCTTCCAGTGGAGAAACCTCCCTAGACTTTCGCAATCCTTAGAAAGAGACACATTATTGCCACAGAGTCCGGCGGCCGGACACCTCCTGCCAGACAGCCAGGGCATGGGCCCCGGAACCGCCGCGCCGCCTCCAGCCCTGCGGGCAGCGTGCGGCTCAGACCTGGGCTGGGGCGCCCCACACCCGGCTCCGGGCGGGGCGGCTCACACTTCACCCAGACTTCCTCAGCTCCACATCCTGTCTGCCCTTACGCGACACTTCAGACAGACATTACACAAACCGGCTGCAGGGAGGCGGGGAAGCTAGACGCTGCGGCGCTGCCAATGACCTGACCAACAGAGACTCCAAAGGCACAGCCGGGGACGGAGACGGGCACTCCACCACCCTGCTGCCCCAGAGGCTAAGGGAACCTACTCAGTCCCCAAGGGCCCTGGAAACTGGTGGACCATACCCCTGGAGGACCCAGGCAGGGCTCTGCTCCCTTCAGAAGAAACCCAGCCGTGGGAGTGGGCAGGCAGGGCCATGCTGGCCCACACCTCCCCTGCTGCAGGATGGCTCCCAGGTGAAGGCCGGGCCTGGAGCCACTCTCAAGCCACTGTCGTCCCTTTGGAAAGACCCTGCTGGACATCATTCTGGAGCCTCAGCCAGCGACCAGACCAGACCAGGTGCAGGCCCCCCTCCTGCAGGGGCTCCAGGCCAGGGCCCAACCTCAGGGTTAGCACAGAGGCATGCCCCCTTCCAAACACCCCAAGTCCCAAGGAAGCCACGCCTGAGGCACAGGCTGTGCAGGGAGCACGGACCCAGGTGGCAGATGGGTCCCCACAGCAGTCTCAGGTGGAGTGCAAAATGCACCTCAGGACGCGGCTAGCCAGTTATTGACTGAAAGGCTACCTGGGGCCAGGGGAGGGCATCAAGGCACTCAGGCAAAAAGTCCCGCCTGAGGGATTCAGACAATCCGAACTGCAGTCCCCTAAATGCACGTCGGCCACACCAACCACCAATAACGACAACTAGACCTGTGGGTCCCCCGGGAAGCTGGCTCCGAAGGGCACAGGTACAGCGACCAAGAACCAGCTTTCTCACCATAAGAATGTCCAAGCCACAGTGTCAAGCAAGGCAGCCCCCTCCCACACACGCAGGGGCAGAGCCCACTCCAGCCCAGGGGAGGCACCCCAGTGCCCTGGTCTCAGCCTGGGAGGGCAACCCTGGGCTACAGCATGACGGCCTGAGGACAGCAGCCTCATCCCAGGCAGCAAGCCAAGTGGCAGCGCGAACTGTCCCCGGCTGTCTCCCTTTCAGACAGACAGCAATCTCTGCTGATAGGAAGAGGGATCTGTCAGGCAGAAGCCGTGGGGACGGCTGAGAGGCTCCATCCATCCACCTTGTGTGCCCGCAGCAAAGTAACCTGTCCTGCCACACCTGACACCCAGGATCAGAAAGTATTAGACCCCGTTTATACGAAAAGCAAGTGTACCAGAAAGGTTAGGCAATTCGCTCAAGGTCACACAGCCAATGAGGGACAGAGGAGGAATATGAGCACAATCCCAAGAGGCTCCTCAGCTGGGTAGGCTCGGCTCACTGCAGGACACACGCCAAGGACAGCAGTCATGGAAGTCCTACAAGTGGCTCACTGAGCACCCAGGAAGCCTGTGTGTTCCAAGCCATGCCAGCAGGAAGCTGTCAGCAGGCCCCAGGTCAACCTCTAGACAAGAGTGGACAGTTCCTGTCACCACAGGTCACCAACCCTAAACACTGTCACAGCCCCAGCAACGTGCCAAGGTCCCCAGTATATCTGCCTTCCTGAAGGTTGGGCTCAAAGCTGGAGCCCCACCGAACCCGGCCCCAGCTCAGCCAGGCCAGGGCCAAGCGGACAGGCCGAGGCAGTCAGGGCGGCAGGGGCAGGGGCCTCACTGGACGGGAGCCCCACCCACCTCCCACCCAGGCCAGGACGGATTTCAGCTCACGCCTGTCAGCAGGCCCAGGTCTGCCAGGAGCCGCAGCCCTGCACAGAGTTCCAGTACGGTCTTTGTTCCTCCAGCCCTCCTCCTCCTCAGTAGATCAAAAATATTAAAATAAGCTACAAAGGAAGTGAAGAAATCAAAACATGTCCCATGAATAGGCTTCCCAGAGGAGAGTGGGAGGAGCCGGCAGAGAGGGCAGTGCATGGACATGGTCAACCTCAGGTCCACACCCCCTGGACTGACCCCATTTCCACATGGCACATAACTGTCACAGATGACCACCACATAGCTGCTGGGGGGACATGGAGGACCCCCAAGTGCAGGTCACAGAGCCGAGGACACTCTGGGCTGAAGGCGGAGGGGCGCACAGACGGGGAGTGTCCCACGAGGGGAGCGGGCCCTCCCACCCTCCTCCCTCATCAGGAAAGCATGCAGGAGCCGCCCAGGCCCCGGCCCGCTGCCTAAGCAGGGGCAGGGCTGTCACTCCAGGGTCTTCCTCTTCACTTTGAGGAATTTCTCTTAAATCAGTGAACGGGTGCCAGAGCCCTGCCAGGGAGAACACGCGGGAAAAGAAGCTCCAAACCACCCGCCATGACCCGAGGAGCCACCCAGGCCTTGTCCCTAGGACCCAGGGTGCCATCCTCCTTCCTTTCAGCAGCACTGGCCCTCTCTGCACCCGAGGACCCTCAAAATCAGAACCCCAGGGCTGGCTGCAAAGAAGGGGAAGACCTGCGGCCCACCCCCAGGCAACAGCTGGGACAGAGGGGCCCCGTGGGCCTGCAAAGCCCAGAAAGAGAGACCTCCAACACACACGACCCAGAGTCAACAAAAACAAACCAGACACGCCCTGCTCAGGCGGACCTCGGTGCTCCCTGGCTCACTCCCACTCTGGACATCAGTGAAGCCTGCCCAGCAGCGGGGCCTCGCCAGTCGCCCGCTCCACCACAGCAGGGCCCACCCCAGCAGCCCGCACACGTGGCATCCTTGGGCCACTCAAGCTGGCACCCCAAACAGACAGACCCTGCTCACAGGGAACTCCATAGCCAACTCCCCATCTGAAATGAAGGGCCAGCAGCCTGCTGGGGCTGCAGGGAGCTGCACCTGGGCACTGGCCTCGCCAGGTCAGAACCACCACTGCGACAGCTACTGAACACACAACACACAGCACACGCGATCTAGCAGCCCTCTTCACGGCCCCTCCCCCCACAACTCTGACACTCTGCTGGAGGGGCGCCCAGAGAAAACCGGGCTGCAGCATCTATTCACAGATTTAGAAAAAAAAAAGTTTGATGCAATTGCTGAATTAATTAGGCCTCCCAAGAATAGCTGAGCCAATGCAGCGTCTGTGTGTGCCGTTTAGTAAGCCAGAATATTTAAGAGTCAGATACTCAGGACACGCGCTACAGAAAGTTCCTGTGGACTCGGTCTCACCATCTAGTAGCCGGGAGCTGCCCAGAGACAACACAAACAACAGGACCTGGGTGGGCAGCTCTGCACACCAGCCCGTGTGCTTCAGAGACATTTGAGGACCCACGGCCACAGGGACTCAGGGCTGCAGTCACTAAGTCTCAGCACCTGCCACAGCAGCCAAGGCTTGGCTTCATTTCTTAGGTCCTGTCCCAAGACTTCAGGGGAGTTAGGAATCAAATCAGGCTGTTCGCCTGGGACAGAAGGGCAGGCACCCCTCTGCAGGTCTGGGAGACTTCTGGGGTGAATGTGAGAGACTTTACCCCAACCCTGTCTGAACACCCCCACGGGGGCCCATGGGGGCCCCAGCCTGAGGCCCACAGCTGGGGTTCAGTCCATTGGACTTCCCAGAGCCTCTTCATAGAYTGGCCAAGGCCCAACCTCTCCAGGCCACGGTTGAGGGCTTGGGGGAGGCTTTACACTAACCAGGCCTGGCCACCGAGATTTCCATCCAGGCTACCCCTGAGGACAAGCCCACCAGGCAGAAGGGCCTTCCTCCTAGACAGTTGGGGCCACAGATAGGGACACTGACACAAGACAAGAGTGGACAGTTTCTTTCCCCAGATTTCCTTAAAACAAATCCCTGTGGCCTGGCAAGACAGGACACAAGCACATTCCTGCCTTGGGAGGACGGGGGTCCCAGCCCAGGAGAGCCCCCGCCCAGAGCACACCTCCCAGGCTTGGGAGCCAGGAATACTCACCCGGGGCACCCGCCGCTTGTACTTGTTGCCGTAGTCGAACTTCTCCTTTACGTCGTCCAGGCAGCGGCCCAGGCGCGCCTGCTCCTCCTTGCCCGTGTAGTCCTGGCTCAGCAGGATGTAGGCCCGCCAGTTGGCGGAGTCGAAGCCCCAGTGGCAGGTCCGGTTCTCCAGGGCCTTGTGCGAGTGCACCACGAACTTGTGCGGAGGGTACATGAGGCGGCAGTCGAGGCACTGGATGCAGGCCGCGCTGGGGCTGCTGTAGAGCTCGGGCACCAGCAGCCCCTTGCACTTGCCGAAGCACTCGTGGTACACGCGGACGCTGCGCTCGCTGAGCTCCAGGCCCAGCGCCAGGCTGGCCGCCAGCTCCTTCTTGCAGGGCGGCGGATAGGCGCCGCCGTAGAGCAGCGCGTTGCACAGGCGCTCGGCGTCCGTCTTGGTGATGAGCCCGCACGAGGGCGCGGAGAAGGGCAGGATGCCCATGACTTTGAGGATCTCCAGCTGGTCGGCTGTGCAGCGCGAGCAGTAGATGTGCAGCTCGTCGCACACCGAGTTGATCTGCTGCAGCGAGAAGTCGCGCAACACCGAGTTGAGGATCTGCGGCAGGCACAGGCGCTTCTCGCCACCCACCACGAAGCAGGAGATGGTTTCGCCCTCCAGCACGGTCTCGCAGCGCTCGGTAGAGCGGTCGGACGGCATGAAAAAGGGCCCGGGCAACACGGGCGGCGGCGGCTGGATGGCGGGCAGGTGCAGCACGGGCGGCGGCTCAGCGGCTGTGGGCACCGGCGCAGGCACAGAGGCCGCACCCGCCTCCTTGGCGCTCTCCTTCTTGTAGGCCTCCTGAGCCCAGCGCGCCGAGAAGGCGGCCGGACCGCCAAGCGAGCTCATGGAGCTCAGGTGGAACTGCTCCAACGTCTTCTGCAGCCCCGGGTGCGGCTGGAAGCCGCCGCGGCCGCCTGCCGCCGCCTCCATGGCGCGCTCGGGTTCCACGGGCCGCTCCCGCTCCCGCGCGCCCGGGCCCCCGCGGCCCCCGCCGCCGCCCCGCGCGCCCCGGCGGCGCCCGCGGCCCCGGCCCCGGCCGCCCCCAGCCGCCGGCTCCCGGCCGATCACGGCCGCGGCCTCGGCCTCGCCCGGGGGCGCGAAGGCGAAGGCGGGCGGGGCGAAGGGGTCCCGCCGCTGGAGCCCGCCGCCGCTCGGGCCCGGCGCCACATCCACGCGCCCCGCGCCGCGCCCGCCGCCGCCCGGGCCCCCCGCGCGCCCCCCGCGCGCCCCCCGGGCTCTAGGCGCGGGGCATGCCCCGGCGCGCGCCGCCAACGCCAACGCCAACGCTCGCGGGCCCGGGGCTCGCGGGGGGCGCGCGGGCAGGTGCCGGCGCCGCGAGGCGCGAATCGCCGCGGCGGCCGAGGCCGAGGGGCCCGGGAGGAGCGGGGGCGCGGGCGCGGGGCCCGCCGGGCCGTCCTCGCGCGGCGCGCCGCCGCCGCCCCGCTCCTCCCACCGCGCGGCGCCCGCCCGGCTCGTCCCGGCGGCGCTGGCCGGCCGCGTCGCGCCCGCGCCGGCCCCCGGCCGCCCGCCCGCCCGCCGGCTCCCGGCCGCCCGCCGGCCCGCGCGCGCGGCTCCCGGGGCGGCGGAGGCGCCTCTGGCCCGCGGCCTCAGAGCGCGGCGGCGGCGCGGGGCTCGGCGCGCTCGGCGCACATCCTCCCGGCGGCTCGCTCCGGCTCGGACTGAGTGCCCGGCGCTGAGCTCACGCTGCCGCGCGCCGCCCCGCCCCGCGCCACCGCGCCCCGCCCCGCGCCGCCCCGCCCCCGCGCTGTTTGTTGCCGTGCGTCCGCCTCGGCCCGAGCGCCGGCCAAGAATGCGACCCGCTGCCGGCCGGCTCTTCCAGGAACGCGCGCTCCCCCACCCGGGCTCGGCTCTGCTCGGCCGCGCTCGGCGGCGCCCGGCCGGGACTCGGCCGAGCTTGGCCCCGCCCACCCGCACCTCGGCTCCGCTCGGCTCCGCTCGGCTCCGCTCGGGACCGCCCGCCCGGAGCTCGGCCCCGCTCGGCCCCGTTCGGTCCCCTCGGCCCCGCCCACCGGAGGCCTCTGGTGGCGGCTGCGCCCGGGGCCCCCCTTCCGGCCGAGGCCGTTTCCTGCGCGGCTGGGTAGACGCCCGTCCCGCCGCCGCCCCGAGGCCCAGAAACCCACAGGGTCCCCGCCACAACCGCAGACCAACTGAGGGGCGGTCCGGGGCCGGTCTCTGCTGCCGCCACCGCAGGTCCCGGGGTTTCTGCTGAACGGATTACCGTGCGACATACACTGGGACCCCAACTCAAGGGGCCCGTCACGGAACAAGCTCCAGAGGCCCCACCCGAAAGGGAAGTCGCGAAACACTCCAGGGTACACCACCGTGTTCCCCCTGGAGAGGGAGGCCACGCAGCTGACCCCGGTGTCCTTACGCTACGAGGATGCCCAGAGCACATGCTGGATTTCCACACAGGGTGGAAATGCCCACATCGTCCACATAGGACCAGGACCTGGAATCCAACACAGGAAGGAAGGCCGCACTTAGACAATATGGGGACACTGCACATGCTGGGATCTAGGATCATTGCACCCAGGGACACCACGACCTAACCTGAAGAAAACAAGATTCAGGAAGGCCCATCCCACCCCTTGATTAGCAGCCAGCATAGACCACCCATGGCTCTGGTTCCCACCACACCACCAGCAGCAGCACCTGAACCCTGGTCCCAGTGCAGGAATCTCCCTGCTTCTCAGGGAAGGGGCTTTGGGACTTGGCTCTGTGTGCTGAGAGCCCAGCCCTGTGCTCACCAGCACAGCCTCTCCCTGAGGCACCCCACTAGCCAGTGTCCAACCCCAGGAACTCAGCCTCAGTGTGTCTCAAGACAGCAGCTAATGTGACTCTCACTCTGCAGCCTGCATGTCAAGAACTCGGCTTCTGTCTGCATCCGTCAGGCACCCAGGTTGCGACTTGARTGAGACAGCACTTGACCTCCCTCCACACTGTGGCTATGCTGTAGGAGAGACAAGCCAGAAAAGGCCAGGAGGGAGAGCGGAGCTGAGCAGGCTGTCAGGTGGCCCTAGACAGAAGCTGCATGCAGCAGAGGGGTGGATGGGTCTGGCTCTGCTCACCTGAGGCCAAAGGACTTCCAGCTGGACAGTGGTGCCTTTCCCACATGACCAGGCCCTCAGCTGGCCTGGGCTCTGGGGAACAGGGGAGAGAGGCTCTCAGAGCTGGATGGAGATATGAGAGCCACACTCACTTTAGCCTGGAGATCTCTCCTCCCCGCTGGAAGCTGGAAATGGTCCCATACCAGCACTCCTGGGGCACAGTTCCTGCCCTGGGGCATTGGCAAGTATCCCTGGACAGGCCTCAGTTACTCTATGCCAGGGGCAGGTGTCTGGACAGCTGAGATCAGTGGGTGACCCCAAGTCTGGGCTCAAGATTTAGAGTGCCTATCCGAGTCTGAAAACTGGATGGCTTGTCACCAAGCATACATACGTGAACCCACTCCCAGTTCCCTGTGTTGGCCTACAGGAGCCTTGGGATTATCCCTCCTTGTCACACAGTTGCTGCTCCCCCTGCGCTGTTGGCCCCAGCAGTACCCAATCCCGACCACAAGGCATCTTATGCTCACACATAAGAAAACCAATACGACAATTGTTTCCTGAAAAGGGGTATTTTTAAAACAAGAAAAGGAACTGATTTGTTTTCCGGGAGATGGTTTTCTTAGCCCACATTTAGACCCCTCCGCCAAAAGTTAACATGGCTCGAAGGATTCATCTCCTTCCATCTAGATTTGAATTCCATACAGTTCCGGGAGATTATAATCCAGACAGGCCCAATGGTGCACACCTATAGTGCCAGCTACTCAAGAGGCTGAAGCAGGAGGATCTCAGAAATTGGTGAGACCCTGTCTCAAAAATTAAAAATTAGAGCTGGGTGAGATGGTGGACGCTGGTAAACCTAGCGGCTTGGGAAGCTGAGGCAGGAGGATGGCGAGTTCAAAGCCAGCCTCATCAACGGCGAGGCACTAAGAAACTCAGTGAGACCCTGTCTCTAAATAAAATACAAAAAAGGGCTGGGGATGTGGCTTAGTGGTCAAGTGCCCCTGAGTTCAATCCCTGAAACCAAAAATTAAAAAGTAGAAAAGGGCTGGGGATGTGGCTCAGTAGTATAGTGCCTGTGGGTTCAATACCCACTACTGAAAAGAATACATTGTAATTCGAAGAAGATAACTAGAATCAGAGCTGGCTAGGACAAGTCTCCCATCCAGCGAGGAGATCTCTGGCTCTCTTGCTTCAGCAGGCCCCTGAGGACTGGCTCCAGTGGCCAGAGCCCATGCAGATGCTGCACTCCTAATGCCTCTGGCTTTGCAGGCCCAGGCCAGGGACCAGCAAGTGACAGAACCCAGAACCGGGAAGCAGCCATGGGGATGCAGGAGAATAAAGAGGCTGAGCACAGGAGGGGTGTGGGAGGGGTTGGTCCGGCTGAAGGGCCCTGGGCAGCAGCGCCGGCAAGGCCTCAGGCTGGCCTCTGAGGCCTCCTCCTCCAAGATGCTGGCATTCCAGAACAGCCCAACCAGCCCACCCAGGGCCAGGGCAGCTGGGATGGAGCTGATGGGGCCTTGCTTCCCCTTGCACCCAGGGGTGCCCCACCTGCTGGCCCTCCTTCTGCCACCTACAGCCACTCTGGCCTGTGGCCTACTCATGCCATAGGCCAGGCCACTACATCAGAAAGTGAAGGGTCCAGGCCACAGGTACAGCCATGTTGGGGGTGGAGCAGGGTTGGCTTTGTGCCTGCCGGCAAAAAAAAAAAAAAAAAAAAAAAAAACACCAGCTTGCAGACAGACAGGGCCTGCTCAAGCCCTCACCATACCAGGGAGCTGGGATAGCTTGTGACACATTGTTCATCAGCACCATGCAGGTATGAGCCAGGTGCTGCACCCTTGGGAAGGAACCGATTTCTAGCCCAGTGGCTTCTATTCTTCTGTGGGACACTGACAACCCAGTGACAGGCCTGCCTGGACGGCAGGTCACCCACTTCTGAGTAGCCTGACTTGGGCAGGGGGCTGGTGTCAGCCAGGGAAGACTTCCTGGGGGCGCTGGCCTTGGAGTTCAGCCCCAAGCCTAAGAGGCCAGCAATTTGGAGATGCACAGGATAGCACTCTGGAATGAGAGATGGGGGTCTGCCAGTGAAAGGGGCACCCCGACTTTGGGGGAACTCAGACCCAGCAGAAGCACTCTATGAGGTCAAGCCACCAGCCCACACAGTTCCGGGATGTTAGTGTGACAACCAGGAAGCCCTGGACAGGGCCTGAGTCCCCACACTCCACAGAGGACCTGCTCCTTTCAGCCCTATGCCGTGCCCCACCCACTCCTTGGGATGCAGAAGGAAGAGACAGGCAGCAGCCAGGAACAAGCAGCCATTGTCCACTGTAAATAGGAAGAAAAGACGGCTCAAGTAACATGAGCTTCATAAAAATTGAGAAAAGACTTTTTTCTTAGCTTGGGTCCCACCAGAAACAGACCCTCAGACCGAGATTGAGAACAAGTGGTGTAACAAGAGGGAGCCAGCCCCCCGGAGTGCGGAGGAGCCTCCTATCCACGGGCCCCTGAGAGACCTGAGCACACAGCAGTCTCAGCACCATTCCCAGGGGCAGCCCCCGAGGTGGGGGCACATCACAGCAGCAGGGTGACTAATTTACGGGGGCGACCAAATAAGGAAAAGCATAAAGGGTGTCAAGGGCCAGATTTCTCACTGTTAGAGATGCACACTGAAAATACAGAAAGAAGGGCTAGGGCTATAGCTCGGTTAGTAGAGTACTTGCCCAGCATTCACAAGGCCTGGGTTCAATCCTTAGCACCACCACCACCACCAACAAAAAATACAGAAAGAGAAGGTTGGAGTTCTAATTCAGTGGCAGAGCACATGCCTAGCATGGGTTCAATCCTCAGCACTGCATAAAGGTAAATAAATAAAATAAAGATACCATGTCCCCCTCCCTCTCTCTCTCTCTCTCTCTCTCTCTCTCTCTC